CATTCCCTTCCCCACATACACTCCCTCTGTTCCCACTCCCCTATCCACTCTCCCTCCATTTCTGTTTAGGAAAAGGCAGGTCTCCCATGAGTCAACAAAACAAGGCATACCAAGTTGTAGTAAGACTAAGCACCTCCCCATATATTAAGGCTGGGTAAGATGACCCAGTATGAGGAGTAGGGGAGGACACTCTTTCTTATTCCAAGCATAGACAGAACCAGTGGAGCTCGGGGACAAGGATCTATAGCTAGATGTTGCTCAATGTGTAGTGTCTTAAGCCTTAAGAACATCTCATTTAAATTATCACAGTAGCACTGCTGGGAAACAGCATCTTGCCATTCTATAGGCAGGTAGATCAATGTGGTAGAACACATATTTACCATTCATGTGATGCCAAGCCCTCATCACTGGGGTTGCACATACTTTGTAAATTCTCCAAAACAACACAAAACCATGAAGAACTATCTCTGCTCTTTGAAGTCTAATATTCATAAAGAAAAGACACAGAAAATAGACTTCATGTATCAGGGATAATATATTTTGCCATTCTCAGTCTAATAAAAAAAATAAGTTACTTGAAACATTTCTTATCTATGAGGCAGAATGTTCACATATAAGCAAGTAATTTATATAATTTTTCTTCCATGAACCTTGCATGTATCCTAGTCATAGAACTCTTACTTGCTATGTGTAAGGCCATGGGTAAAATCCTAGCATCACAACACAAATTATTCTGAATACTTTTGTCCCTGAAACTGGATTACATATCTTGTCATGCTTCTCAGATTCACAATGGGCAAATAAGCCAAAAGTGGGTGGGGGGAGATTTCTGTCACTTGACAGTTGAGGGGTCAGTTCCTTCTTCCTTCAGCCTTTTCATAGGATAGTGTCAATCAAGCATGGATGGGTGAGCAAAAAATTTCATCAGTGCAAAAATGACAAACTCCTCAAAGGAGAAGCCCACAAAGGTATCAAACTGTTACAAATAGAAATGAGGGTGTTCACTCTATGACAACAGAATACATGTGTGCACAAAACCCATGAAAAAAAATCACACATCCACTGCCAAATCAAAGAAAGGTTCTCTAAAGAACTTACATTCTAGAACTTTATTCAGGCTTACAGCAACAGAAATGTCTTGACTCGTGCTCTTTCCTTCAAAAGTAAGGATGTAATGCCCTTTTCCAAAAGTCTTATTCTATAACTTAATTGCTCCTATAAGAAGCTAGGGGGAAAAACTGTGAACTATAAATTAAGGAAGAAAATCTAACATAATGGTGAAATAGTGTCCAAAAACTGATACCCTTTTTGCATTAAAATATTCAGGGCTAATTATGATTTTAGCACTTGTTTTTATCCTTGCTTTGTTCACTGGCCAAACTTAAACACTTCTCATCTCCTTCAATGAAAGTAGCGCTATTATGTTTCTGGAAGCATGGGCAGGGTTCCTCAAAGCCTAATTTCAAGGTCTTAATTGGCTGAGGCAATGGGAGACTATACAAAGCCCACTTCACAGAGAAGGGCAGGATTGCCAGGTCACTTGAGAACAGATGAAGAGCTAACTGGAAGCTATTGCTGAAATCTTGCAGAGTGTGCTGGGAAGTTTTACCAAATAGTAACTTACAGAAAATGGAAGTGAACCATCCATCACCACAGTACTGAGCCCAGAGAGGTTGAGCTTGTCGAAACAGAACAATTAAAACTTAGAAACAGAGATTCTCACTTAACCACACATCAGCAAGCCAAGGAGGCTAAATGAAGACAGGGTACCACTACTGGTTCTGTAACAATTTCGATTTTGGAGATTCTCAGATTATAAATCCTCATCCTCTCTAAGGTCTCAAGAAGGCTGCTACTAACACTTTTCTCCATCTGGTACCATGAGACCGACCTTCTACTGTAACATGTGCAAAATTTGAAGAGTAATTCATCATCAATCCATTCATTTCCAACCCAACATCTGTGGTACTACAAAATAATTAACACATTAAATTATCTTGATCCACAAGCAGCTTAATGCTTAATAATATAACCATAATTAATCATTAATAACATGCGTGATAATAAAAAGAACTTAGGTAAATTGATTTCTTTGTCATCAACTCTAATTACTAGTAACAAATTTCCCAAACAAAACAGACCAATTTTTATCTGTGTAATTTAGACTCTATGAAAAAGAAAAAGACCTAAAATTAAGCTATGAAAACCTTTTAAATCATTTTATGTTCACATTAACAATAAAGACACACACTAAAAAAATAAAATTAAATGGCACCTTACACATTTGGGTTCCCAGTGAGGACTTCACTGCTAATTTCCACTTAGCAAATCAACAGAGAGCTCAGACACTTGCTGACATTTCAATAAGAAAATATAAATTTGTTTTATTTTACTATTATGAGAAAAATGCAATGTGAAGCTAAGTATTCATGTCTTTTTTATTTTTTAGAATGGGTTCCCACACAATTCATCTTTCCTAATTTCACACTCTAGTCCCTCCCTTGTTCCACCAGCTTTATTAATCTTTTTTGTATTTATTCTCTGTCAGCTTTGAGGAAAATCCAAGGTCCTGCTTCTTAATAAATTCTACCCTGTATTAAAGGCAAATATTGTTTATTCGTCTGTCTGTTTTCTCTCTGGGTCACTGGAGTTCAGTTCTTGAGTCTGGGTTTACTCTAGCTCATTCTTATCTTCCTCAAAGCATTTTACAGTTGAAAATGT